TTATTTGGTCATGTAATGCTGTAAGTGACTACTCGTCTTTAGCTGATATTATATCATATTTCATATGATCACTTTGGGGCAGTGATATCCAAACATGTACAAAAGGAGGGGAGGTTAATTCCTGGGTCATAACATGGATCAGTTGAGATCCCAGCATATAACCATATACTCTTATATTTTGCCCCAGGCAACTAAGTCTTTTTGGCCATAACTTTGAAACGGTTCAGACCACCACCCTATTACCATACATGTGCATGCTGCAATATTACTTTATTGAGAATATTTTACCATGGTTGCTTAAATATCCAGGTGAGCAGTTCAGGCCTTGTGGACCTCTAATGTAATGATAAAATTTGAGAATACACTGTATTACAGATGAACTGCATACAACTTTCGATCTAACTGATTTTTGAGTACATTCTGACCTGATATAGTTAACTGAAGTATTCATTGGTTGTTGTCATAATCAGCATGGATTTAAACAAATTGCATGATAATGGTTGAACGTGGACTTCTCCCGACCACATTCCAGCAATGTGATGACTGCATATATCACACTGTCCTGGTGGTGCTAGATTCAATGTGATTGAAAGCTTCTAGTTCTAGATTTTATATTCTAAACACTCCTTATTTCATGTTTGTGCTTGAATATGGTATTCAGTAATAAAAAGTAAGTTTGATACAACAGGTAATATAACACTGGAGTATTGTTTTTTGAAACAGTCATTTCTGATTGAGTTATCTCTCCATTTTTCGAGAAAAGATTATTAAAAGACGATGCAAATTTATGTTGTTACAGATATTATTGAAACTAATAAAATACATTATGATTAAATCTGATACAAAATAAGGGGAAGAAACTCCAGCGGAAAAATACCATGCTAAGTAATGGACATGTTAAGAAGCTTAACAACAATATTTTACAAACTGTATGCTTTGTATATAAATTGTATAAGTCAGCAGTATAGTGCATGACTGGTCCCTTTTCCATTGAACTTTATGGGATAAAGGGTTGACATGGAAACAACCACTAAGTAGTCACGTTAGTGTGTTATTAACTACGGCATTGCATGCTGTGTGATGGTCCAACATTAACACATCCTACCCTAATCATTGACAGCAGTTTTGTAGTATCTAGCTGTGATCAGTCTATATTAATTCTAGATATCAATCTATACTCAGAATTTCTCATAATTATATAATATACAATAGTGTACTATAAAAATCAAACCCCAACTGTTTCTGTACAGCATTTATTTGTGTATTGTATACTTCTTTCTGTATTGTAGCATTTATACAAATAGCATATGTAATATACTGCATGATGTTACACTAAGACATGGGTTTATGTATAATGAATGTAGCACTAAACAGAGGGGTTTATGTATAATGAATGTTACACTAAACAGACGGGTTTATGTATAATGAATGTTATGCTAAACAGAGGGGTTTATCTATAATGAATGTTACACTAAACAGAGGGGTTTATGTATAATGAATGTTACACTAAACAGAGGGGGTTATGTATAATGAATGTTACACTAAACATAGGGTTTATGTATCATGAATGTTACACTAAACAGACGGGTTTATGTATAATGAATGTTACACTAAACATAGGGTTTATGTATAATGAATGTTACACTAAACAGACGGGTTTATGTATAATGAATGTTATGCTAAACAGAGGGGTTTATGTATAATGAATGTTACACTAAACAGAGGGGTTTATGTATAATGAATGTCGAATAACGATTGATTTCCCATTCCCTTTCCCCAGAAACTTACTATTTCAGAGCATCTCACACAAAAGATATTCATTTATATTTGTTGGTGAATTACTTCCCTTTCTACATGACCTATTAAATATATAAAGAGGCTGAATTAAGTGTCACAAATTCATTGATATGATTTTTGACGAAGTAAGTAATAGTGTGTTGTTTATTGTTTAGGCTATCGTGATCTCGTCATGTTTTGTCATGTTTAAGGATTATTATAATAATATAAGAACAGATGGATTAATAACGTGTTATTGGTAAATGTCTTTATCTCATTTTTTTTTTGTCTTTTCTGATGCATTAGAATTCTTCATCGGCCAAATACATGCATTGAATACTCTATGCACACCAACAATGAAGTTGATGAAGATAATTATGACAATAACCTTATATATGAATAATCTGTGTTATTTAAAATACTAAAACAGCTTTGCGCTCTATTGAAATTTTGAGACAGAAAAATCAATTGTTCAGATACTTAATTATGAAATGGGCCATTATGAAATTGCCAATTATGAAATGGGCAACTGGTTGATGTGATGGATAAGCCTATTTGTATGTATGAGATGTTTTGCCTGGTAGAAGAATTCTTTGTGTCTCTTGTCACTGTGTGTACCCTTGGTATTATATGATGACAATATTTGTTGCACACCTTGCTCCTCCCATTACCTACACAATTCTTCCCACAGTGCTAATCAATGTGACCATATATATTCAGGTGAACATAACAGGGTCCTGAAGGACGAGAACAGTCTCCATACCATAAAAAGTTAATAAAAGTCTTGCTGTTCTCGACAGTTTACACACATACACACACACACACACACACACATATATATATATATAATAAAAAGGGATTAAATGTCCATGTGAAGGAAGTAAATATAGAAAAAATAAGATTAACGACCGACTAAATATATATATGTAGAAAGGGAATTAATCTCCTAGAGGAGATGAAAGTACTAAAGACTCCTTAAGGATTTTTCTTTTTTATAATATATATATATATATAAAGCTTTGCTATTTCACAATTGGGAGATGCAAAAAAAGGAGATCCAAATTAGTTCTTCTGAAGATAGAAATTTACTCTTTACAAAGGGAAGAAAAGGGCTGACAAGCTTTTAAAAATAAATGGGTAGGGGGAGGGGCTAGAGTGCAATATCTTTTATTTTTTGGACTTAAATAAAACTGCAACCTCTATTAGCAACAACAGTGGCAAGTAAGCCATCCCATGTATAGGGAGTGCTATTATTGCCTTGTGATTGTTTGGCCTCGCGTGTGATGTAGGTAGTAGTAACATGTTCATTTTCTTGGTGTGAGCTCCTACTCGGACAATACTGATGGACACTCTATTTAGTGCTGTTATGATTTTGATTGTTTTGTTTCTATATTTGTTTCCATAGTTTCATTTTGTTCCTTCGCAGGTGATTACCTTTGTAACTGTAATGCTAGCTCATTTACTGCTTCTGTGTAACTTTGTAGTTCTGCTGTTTTTAATATTCCCTGTTTCTTTTATACAGCCCACTTACTATGGTGTAGTGTAATATACCTACATAACGGGGGAGTACTTGTGGTAATGCTGTAGGGCAGTCCCTGTATTGTAGTGGTGGGGCCAGAGATATTGTTAGAGATGAGGAATGTTCGGCAGAATTATCAATTCTATCTTGATTTATCTGACAAAGCAAAGCTTTCTGAGTTAAATGTTGCACAAAACATGTTCATCTGGACAAGTTTACAATACTAGGAGGACCCGTAACAGCTTTGTGTAGGTCATATGGAACATTACCATGGTTTCCTTAACTTTAACTTATATATATAATCGTGTATTAAAAAGTGTCATAAACTAACTAATTTATAAGGACATATTCTTGCATGTTCTTTTAACTATTGTTAGATGAGCTGAGTCAAAGGCTCAAGTAATCTATTGCAATCATTTTTTGTCTGTTGTCGTCAATTTGATGTTTTCCACCTAAAATGAAACATTATTGAAGGGATTTCAACTAAGAAGGGATGATCTATTGATGGTCTGAAAAAGTGTGCTACTTGTTTTTTGTTACTCAGAAATCCAATATGACCTTTACAGCTGCCATTTTGAAAATCAACTTCAAGGCTAATTTAACTGAACCATGCTGGTTCTAACAAAGTGTTGTTCTATTTCAAGTTTGTTGGAAATCCAGCTCGGTACAACTCAGGTGCATGTTAAAGGTCCAAGGGCAAGTGTTAGATAAATGTCCAAATAAATGTGAAAACGGTAAATTAATGCAAATTTGATTTGTGTAAATTGTTCCTAGTTCATATGGTAAAGCTAGGTATACTAATGTAATTGTTAATGTAACATTTTGGCTGATCATGGTAATGGTCCATCACATCCTGGTGTGCACGCCACCATACATGTATACAGATATATCACCTAGTGTAGTTATGGGACACTGCCTACAAACATTTCCTTTGAGACCTGCATATGTATGTTAGTTTTACCTGACTGACTCTGCTGTATGATAGACATTAACCTGTGCTAATTGGCTTGTATCCCTCTAACACAACATGGCCAAACACAGCTTCATGTATCAAAAAGTAACCAACACAGTAGGAGTTTGGTGGATTGGGAATTTATCATTTTAAAAACAGTTAGTATGCATCTTTTAACAACATTTTCTCATAAAAAAAATCAAACAAATATTTCGTTCATTAACTTTTCAATTACATATTTGGTAAAAATAAAGATACATATACATGAGGTCTTAATATGACCAGAAATATTTAAGATTTCATTTTAGTTTGTATTACTTGACCATCTGAGTTTACTTTCCTATGAGAAGCTGTGAGTGTCCTCCCCTTTGCTGGCACAGTTTGGCCACTTGGTGTTTGTTGTTGTACCATCAATGATAATATTAGTACTGGATTATACCATGCTTGGGAAGGTTTTGATTTTTCACATTTTACATGTTATTTTAGATCACAACAGATTCATTTTTTTTTTAAATATACCATTTTTTATTCTTCAATGTTTATTTTATTAATTTATTTGTATTGTATTGTATGACATTTTGCTCCTGTTTGGTCTGTTATGGAGACGACCTGATCAAATTCATTGAAAATAAGAGTCATTTGTACATGTCTATACCCTATATGCCTAAAGGCTTGTTATAAGCCAGATCACATGAATGTGTGAGGATATGACTTTGGCTCAACACCTGTGTAATTGATGCCTTGTATTTGCAGCTAAAGAGGGCAGAGCTAATTCAGATGGAACAAACAGTCACAGGTCCAACCATGAGGTGAGGCAGCAGTTTAGAGTTACTTGAGTATCAATGTTTAGCTCACCTGCCGTATGAGTGTGAGATTATCTCATAGGGCAGTGTCTGTTGTCTGTTCCACCATTGTCCAGCATCAACTTTTCATAATGTTCCCGCCATATAATGGCAGGGAATATATAAATATTTTCACCGATGTGTACATGTACTATGTCTGTGCATGCATGCTCAGGATAGAAACAAATCTAAATGTCTGGTGCAGTGATGATTATGGACGTTGGATACAAAATACTGCAGGCGAGGAACCTTATCTAGATAGCTACCAAATGCTCTATTGTAAGCAATCTTCCGTAATTAAAACTACAAATTAGCACTACATAAAAACACTCAGTCTCAAAAATAATGAATGGGGTACTGGCCAGGTGTTGGAATTGCTGCACCTTTTGAACAACCATCAAAAAAACACTGATGTAATTTTTGAGAAATTTAAGGTAACATAAACTCAACTGCCCAAAGAGTAAGTGTGTTATGTCACAATGTTTGTTGCCAAATTTTATATAAAAGACTTGTCCAGAATGACTGGAAGGATTTTGACCGAATTTTGTTGGGGGGATTCCTGAGGCAAGATGACTCAATTTTGTATAAACAAAGTGCATGCCCAACCCCATGTGGCAGAGGGATGGGTCACTATCCATGACAATAAGGTACAGTCAACCTTTTGTTGACGACAGTGATGGCACAGCTGAGCACTCTACATTATTTTGGATTTACAGATATGAAACGTGCATTGATTTTTGGAAAAGTTTTGCCAAAATGTCTAAATTTTGTCTAGATTTATTTTCACCTCCCAGTCACAGATGGTTGGTCGTGTGTTTTAAATTGAACCTAAATTGACACAAAACTCCTATTGAAAAAGAAATGCTTGTTTTTTCCAGAAAACTTTGTTTAAAAGTTAAACCAGGCATGATTCATTCAAACAACTGCAAGATTATACTTTGTTGTAACAACTTACTCTTTAAAAAAAAAACATAAATACTTCGACTTTCATAATTCCATGAAGCCTCTAGCATACTGTGATAACACACTTATTTGTTGAAGTAAATGCCCTTGACCAACTTTTAATAGCAGTAAAATGTGTCTTCATATTCCAAAAACAAGAGAATCAATTATGATATTTAGGGTTAGCTTGCTTGCTGTCAAGAAAGTTTAAATAAATCTGATGTTGAGCCACTTTGAATCTCAAAGATGTGGATGTGTTTGCATTGGATAAAAGGTGAGCAATACAGGTCCACCAAGAGGCATAGGATAATGATTTCCAGGCAGTAGCATGTAGGAATAAATTACCTTGACTACTATTAGTGTCACAGAGCTTAAATGTGCTGAAACCTTCAAACAACTTTGGAAGAGCCAAGAGGCCTAGGAATGTTATATTTGGCCTGTAGTTTGTGTGAAATTATATGAAGCGTAGGATTTAAATGAATGACCAAGTGGAGATTGTAAGGTGTAGAGTAATACAATCTTCCAACAAAGATTATGATATATATAGGGGAATGATATTTATCTTATTTAGATAAATTTGACTTTGATTCTCTTTGAAAGTCGTAGAGGTGAGAAATGCAGATCCAATGGGCCTCTTTGTTTTAATATATCAGGACTAGGGTCAGTTTCTTACCCAGTTTCACCAGATTGTTTCACAATTCACAAAGAATGAACATTTAAATACATTTAATTCACCACTCGTATTAAATTATAAAACAGGAGACCAGAAGGAGGATTAAGGTGAACCTTAACCGCCTAGATGTGACCAAGGTTGACAACTCTGGTGATGGGAAGAATCATGGCAAGTCGGACCACACAGGGGGGGACAACAAAACCAGCCATGTGGATCACATGCATGCCTCCGTGAAGATCAGCAAGACCTCCGAGAAATCTGCAGCAAACCAGGTACAGTATCTAATCAGAAAAGAGCCCTATAAGGGTCTGGGTCTCGTAAATCTTTAAAGGGTCTTTATAATGGTTCTTTTTCTGTAAGTTAAGTCCATTGTCCAAATTTGCTTTGAAGCATCCCTTGGACCAAGGGAAATTCAGTTTTGTATCAGCAGAGTTGTGAAATCCATCCCCTCTCTTAATGAAGGGATTTTAACTGATTTTGGTCCTGTTTAACATACTCAAACTACTTTTTGAGAGCTTAAGTTCCTAGGCCTCTTGTTGATGAACAAAGTTGGTACAATTCCTGGGGTTGACATGGTTGCACCTTGATAGAAGAATTTTGAGTGTAAAGCTACATATGTTAAAGATCTCCTTCAAATTAGTACATAAATACATAACGGGCATGGAGAAATGTATATATCAATAAAAACAAGATTAGCCACTTGAGATTTTCTCCTTATATTAACCATCCTAATTGCCCTGGATGAAAACATGCAAAGGATCTTATTGTTGGAGAAAATGGAGTACCCAGAGAAAAACCAACTTATTGGGCAAGTGATATAACTTGTGACTTTTCATGTCCAATTGGGGAACTGAAGCCCAGCTGTCTTGGTGAAAGGCGAGTGCACTATCCATTGTGTCTATTAATCATCCTTACAAAACCAATTCACTCCTGCTATCAGGATTGGCCCTTGTGTCAGTGCCTGTTTCTGGAAACTTCAATCCAGACTAATAATGTGGAAAAGGATGAAATCTCCAACTGTATGACCATATGCATGAAGAGAAAAACACGAGCATGCTACAAGAATTTGCACTTGGGTCTAGCCCTGCCACTTCAGACTTAGTCTTTGGGTCATAACATGATATGTTTGAGATTCCATCCCATAATTCTATAGAAACAACTGTGGTACCAATATTTCTCCAGGGTCCTCCAGCCAGCCCTGGGATACTTGTTCCTTGGGTCATAACTTGGGGAACAGTTGAGATCTCATCCATATTTCCATATAAATGCTTGCTTGACATGAAAAGAGTTGTGCGCTCTTACTACAAGGATTGGCCCCAGAATCTGGCCCCGACCCTTGAGATGTACTTTCTGGGTGATACCACAGAAACTTTTGAGATTCCCACCCTATTGCTTGGTATGAAAAAAGAAAAACTAACCTTGACTGTCCTTGAGGTTTAGACTGCTATTGGAGACTACTTTCTTGTTATATGTTCTCAGCTGCTGGTATTTCTGGTACTATTTTGATACATTTATAATTTTTATACGCTGTCAAAATTTTTGACTGAACATATTATGGTATGGGGAGTCCGTCTGTCCCCACAAGATAACTCGCGTAAATATTGTTTTGATGAAACTTGGTATGCATGTATATTATAGGAAGCCTGATGCTTAGTTCGAACTTGAGCAAAATTCTTGCATAATTAATTAGTGTACTGTGCACGTTTTGGTCAATTTCCAAACTTTACTTTCCACAAAATTACTTGCTTAAATATTGTAATTTTTTTATGAAACTTGGTGTGCATGTGCATTACACAAAGGCTGACGCTGAGTTTGAAGTGTAGCAAAATCCATGCATTTTTGATTGGTTGAGTTTCTGCACAATAACTAAGGTGAAAAGAACCTGCACATAATTTATTACCATATTGCTATCTAATTGGTCAAAAGCTTTTGTACAAGAACTTGGTCAAATATACCAGGATTCTGATGGATGTGGTCAGTATTTACACTCTGACTAATAGGGAAATCTGCCTGTAATTCATTAAACTAAATCAAATTTTGAGGGTCATGAAGGATATATGAAATACATATGTTGATTTAGCTAAAGTTGGTCAAGTTCGGTATGTTTTCTCCTGTCACACATCAGTAATGAGTAATACAAATGTTGTTTCTTCTCCTTACTTTTCCATATTTTTATACATTTAGATACAATAATGCATCAAAGATTTTTAGTTTGTCAGATTGCCATGGGGAAGTAGTATATTTTTCTACCCTGCAATAATCTTGATGACAGATTTCAAATCAAAAAGAAAATTCCAATTGAGTGATTAAACCTCATTTGTCTCTTATATAAAGGAAGGGGCTGAAATGCAATGCGCAAAAAAATGGTAATTTGGGTGAATTCAAAATCTTATTCCTTCTGATAAGTTGATCATATTTCAACCAAATTTATATAAAGGAATAGTGTTGCTGAGACAGTGAAATACGAAATGGGAATTTATTTTAATGTGAACGAAGTCACAGACAATCTTGGCCCTTTATTTTACTTTACTCTTTAAAAATAGTAAATGTATATACTGTACTATTAGACTCAATGTCTAAGATCTGATTTAATTTGAATATTTTTTCCCAACAGTTATTCATTCTTGTTTTCAGGTGAAGGCAAAGGTAGATGTCCTTTCTTCAATAAAGTTGCCAGATGAATCACTGGCTTCAATCCAGAATCCAGATGAATGCCTGGCTTCAATTCAGATGCCTGTTGAAATGCCAGATGATTCCTTAGCCTCAATCAAGATGCCAGAGGAATACCTTGCTTCTATTAAGATGCCTGATGAATGTCTTGCTTCCATCAAGATGCCAAATACAGGCCTTGCATCAAAGCAAGATCAGAGGTACAGCAAATCAACCTTGACCTTTGACCTACTTAATTCCTAGTTCACCTAACAATGAATAAATGAAAGAAAAAAAGCATATACAAGGCAATTTTATGTACAGATCTACACCATATTTCCTGTGAAGCATCCTTGGTTCTTGAGACATGGGAATATTTTGTTGAATGTCTAAAGGAGAAATGATTTTACCCCTCGCACATGATAGGCCAAAAGCGAAGTATACATCATGCTAAAAGGACTTGACAATAGGGACTTAGTCCCTGCTTCATATCTTGGAAATGGCGAAGATCCCTAAAACTAAATTTACTGCTACTTAGAGATAACTTTAACCATGCTTATAGGATAAGCTTCGGGTCTGGCCGTTTAAGACTACTTTTAAAAGACTACTGATTTAAAGCAGTCCTCCAGGCTGCCCATCTACGACATTCAAGCACCCGAGACAGATCTTAGGCAGCCTTTCTCTTGTTAAGCATGAAAAGACAAATATAGTCATGCTATTATTATGTTTTGCTTTGGGGTCCAGCCCTGCTCCTGGTCCCCGTATCATAACATGCAAACCCTTTTTTTAGCTCACCTGCCCGAAAGGGCAAGTGAGCTTATGCCATGCATGGCGCAGCGTCCGTCATCCGTCTGTCTACTTTTAAGTAGATTTTGATTAAATTTGGTCTGAAGCATCCTTGGGCCAAGGGGACTCAATTTTGTATAAACGGTGGGTTTAGCCCCCTGGGGGCAGAGAAGCGGGGCCCAATAGGGGAAATAGAGGTAAAACCATTAAAATCCTTCTTCTACCGTAGGGATTAAGGTATTTTATCCTCATTTATTCTGGAACATCCTTGGTCCAAGGGGACTCAATTTTGTATATAAACAGTGTGTGGTCCCCTGGGGGCACAGGTGTGGGGTCGAATAGGGGAAATTTGGCAAATTCTTTAAAAAAAATCTTCTTCTGCAGTAATAGGATTTTGTCCATATTTGGTCTAAAGCATCCTTGGGTGAATGGGACTTTATTTTGTATAAACGGTTGGTCTGACACCCCCTTGGGGCAGAGAGGCGGGGCCCAATAAGGGATATAGAGGAATAGCTTTAATATCCTTCTTCTGTTTGGATGAAGGTATTTTGACCAAATTTAAACAGTAGCATCCTATGGGGAAGGGAAATCAATATTGTATAAATGGTGGGTCTGACCCCTCTGGGAGCAGAGGGGCGGGGCCAAATAGGGAAAATAGAAAAATAGCTTTAAAATCCTTCTTCTGTAGGAATGACAGGATTTTGTTCATATTTGTTCTAAAGCATTCTTGGGTGAAGGGGACTTAATTTTGTATAAACGGTGGGTCTGAACCCCCTGGGGGCAGAGGGGCGGGGCCCAATAAGGGAAACATAGCAATTTCTTCAAAATCCTTCTCCTTTAGGAATGACAGGATTTTGTCCGATTGCATATAAATTGTAAACCCTGACTAACCATGTAATAATACATGTACACTACCAGCAACATCTGGCTATTTCAACTTCAATTTTGCTAACATTTCCAGGTGAGCGATGCAGGCCCTCTGGGCCTCTTGTTTGAAGTTCAAATGAAGAAAATGGGGAGCAGTACCGGTCTATAGGGCCTATTGTTAAGACGTTAACCTGGACATCTGATATTATGTTGCTTGAATTAAATCTTTTAATCAAATTCTAAATTTGTTTCATTTGCTATTTCAGAGAAGCCGAGTTGGCCAGTAAGGAAGATCCGAACAAAGCAGGGGGTGTTGTGTCTTTCTCCTTTAAGAAGACTGGTGCCAAAATATCATCTGCTGCTGTGTTTAAACATGAAGAAGAAGAAGACAAATCAAAATTGGTGGAGGCTGATGGACCACAGCCTTCACTGGTTTCTACTAATGAGTCGGCATCACAAGAGGAGCAGCATTCTGTCAATGAGGAGCACACACAGGCAAAGTCGTTGGGGTCATTCATCAAGGTCATGAACAAAGAGGAGACTATGGAGCTGGACTGGCCAGTTGCAATGGTGCAGTATACAAAAACAGAACCTGTCATTGGCTATAGCTGTGATCCTCTGATCTTTGACTTCAATCAGTTATTGGCCAAGCCAAAGCATGATGTTGTCTCAAAGGAAGTGGAGACACCAGCAGTTACTACAGAGGTTGATCACAATGTAGTCAAGTCCACAGTGGAAGTCACAGAGACAGAGGACACTGTGATGGACGATGTGTCAAAGAAAGATGAAAAAGCTGCCAAGAAGAAAAAGAAGAAGAGTAAAAAACATAAAAAATCAGCCAAGAGCAACAGCACAGCTCAACTAGGATCAACAGAAGCCGATGGGAAAAAGTCCTCAGAAAAACGAAAGAAGAAAAAGAAACGTAAGAGCAAACACCATGAACCAACAGAGGAAGGAAAAACTGATAAACATACAGGGGAGAAAAAAGATGAGAATGAAGACCAGAAAAAGTCTCATGGCAAACACAAGAAGGACAAGAAAGTTGCAGAATCAGAAGGTAATTCTAGAGGAGGAAGTGACGAGTCTGGGGAAGAAGGTCACAAAAAGTCAGCTAAGCACAAGAAACATAGACACAGCAAAAAGTCCAAAAAGAAAAAGAAGAAACAGCATGGTAATGAGAAGAAGGAGGAAGCCTCAACGAAAGATTCCGTAAACCAAGAGAGTAAAGATAACCCTAAAGATAGTGAAAAGGACACCACAAAGGAGCTGACTAAGGACCATTCAAAGGAGCAACAAAAGACAAAAACCACTTCTGAACACAAGGTAGACTCCAAACCGAGCCACAAGAAGACAGAGATTACTCCCAGCAAGAGAATTAGAGAACTCAGGGAGAAAAAGGAGCAATCAGATTCTTCAGATGATGAGGAAAATATGAGAGAACGAAAGAGGAAGAAAAGGAAGAAAAAAGTGGATGGGAAGAAAGTAGATAAAATTAACGTTAATAAGTCAGCTGATGGCAAAAAGCCAGTGGAGAGAGTGGCTGTAAAGCGTAGCTACACTAGTGAAGAGTCTGAGTGTGAGGTAGAGGTTAAAAAACCAGGCAAGACTCCTACCTCAGACAGGAGTAAGAGTTCACCTGCTTTGGCGACTGGAGCAATCGGCAAGAAAATAAAAAAGGAACCTGGCAGTGGTTCAGAGAGACAAAGTTTGACTTCGTCAGTGCGTAAACGACAGACGAGCGAGTCTAGTGTAAATGAGACCACTCCTGTGTCAATAAAGAAACAGAAAGTTACACCAGTACAAGTAAAGGTGGAGACATTGGTGGAAAACTCGTGGAATAAAATGGAGAATATGATCGAAATGAAAGCAACAGATGATAATACTAAATCAAAATGGGATACAAGTGACAGTGAAACAGAGGCTTTAGGTGACACTTCTCTTGCCAAAGAACCAAAAGTTCTTGTCAAAACAACACCTGTTGTCAACACAAAGCTGGTCTCACCTGAGATGAAAAAGACGGCACACAATCCAGCTGCACAGCAACATGTTGCAAGCAAACCAACTCACTTGACTATGTCTGTTTTACAAAACCCAAGTGGGCACCAAAAGGTTATGTCAGATTCAAAAAATGCGCTTCATAAGAAAAAGGAGGTACGCAAAAATTCAAGTCGTTCTCACTCTAGGAGCCGACATCGTCACCGTAGATCCTATTCCAGGAGTTACAGTCGGTCAGGAAGTTCTTCATACTCATCAGACTCTAGTCATTCAAGATCAAGCACATATAGCAGGTCGTATTCCCGTAGCTCACGATCTAGATCTCGGTCCCACAGACGATCACGGAGGTCTAGATCATATAGCAGTTATACAGACGATAGCTATAGTTCTAGGTCACGATCTAGATCGTTCAGGAGTCATAGATATTCCCTGTCTAGTTCATACTCACGCTCAAGGTCAAGATCAAGAAATCATCACTACAGATCATATTCAAGGGGAAGTAGTAGGTCAACTAGTTACTCTAGATCAAGGAGCAGATCTAAATCATACAGACACTCTCGATCTCACAGAAGGAAAAGGTCCTCAGACTATAGTCGGTCTTCACGACGTTCTAGTGTGTTGGATGATGAACCCCGTAAAAAAATTAAAGAAGAAAAGAAAGTGAAAGAGGAGAAAAATGACAAGGAGACAAAATCTGATCCCCTTGACATCCCTCTACCTGATTTCAGCAAAGAAGATGACACAAAATCAGCAGAAAACATTGCCCAGAAAATCAAGGAGAAGAAACAACAACACTCAGATTTGGTTAAAAAAGGTATAGCAGCTAGTGTAGAAGCAGAGAAGGAGAAAAATACATCAGACACAAAGGATTTCTTTGACATTCCTTTACCAACAGTGGAGGACAAGTCAGGAGCACAGGACAAGCCAGAAAACACATCAGGAAATTATCAAGGACCTATCCTTCCTCCCCCACCACCCCCACCCTTGGGGATGGACCCCAACCAATCAAACATGCCTCCACACTATCATGGTCCCATGGGACCCCATGGACCTCACAGTGGTCATCATGGACATCATGGTGGTCCCCATGGACCGTATGGACATCACGACGGACCACACGACTACCACCCAATGTATGATGGACCGGGAGGATATGATGGTCCCCATGGACCTGGTGGTCCACATATGGGTGGGCCTCACGGGCCAGGTGGACCACATGGACCTGGTGGGCCGATGCCACAGAACATGCGGGGACCACCACCTCACCATATGGGTGGACATCCACACATGGGCCCACCTCATAATATGCACCGTGGACCACACATGGGACATCCTCGCAACATGGGCCCACCACCAAATAATATGGGCATGAGAGGCATGCCACCTCATCGCATGCCACCTCCAGGCCAGAGAATGTACCAACCCCCTAACAGAATGGGACCACCACATGGCCACAATATGGGGCTTCCCCCACACATGCAGAATATGCCACTTCCACACATGGGTCTTCCACCACACATGGGAGGACCAAATGACCCATACAACACAGGGCCACGTTATCCATATCATAATCCAGACATGAAAGATCCAACAAAGGACAAAGACAAGGAGCCTCCTCCCCTTCCTCCCTCCCGTTCTCCCTCACCTCAGCCTCCTCCACCAACCAAGGAGGAGGAGAAGAAAGTGGAGGAGATTGTCACTAACCCATCTATTGTGATCCCTCCTGAGCAAATAGAGCAGTATAAGCGTTTACAGGAGCAAGCCCAGAAGCATGCAGTGAAACAGCTAAGACGACAGGCCAAACAAGAAAAGGGTGAAGCCATAAGTGAATCCTCCTCTTCAGAGGAGGAACCAGAAGAGGAAGAGAATGTAGAGGAGCAATCGATAGTGTCCGTGGATGAGGATCAGATCTCGATAGAGGAACTACAGCAACATCAGCAACAGCCCACACTCATTGCCATACAGTCCCCTGTACCACAACAGACAATTATGTTAGCACAGCCGTCAGCTCAGCAATCTGTATTGTCCCAGCTACAGATGGCTGGTATGGCGGGCATGGGACATTCTCCGCAAATCATGACCACAGCCAGTGGTCAGCACTTCATCATCCCTCATTCAGCTGCTGGAGGGCTTGTACCCATTCAGGCTGGGGCACCTATGATTGCGGTCCCCCAGCATGCAGGACTACAGCCTGTGAATGCCCTGGCTGCTGCAGCTGCAGGTGCACAGCCAGCTCACATCCCTGGATTTATGCAGGCATCACCACAGTACCACCTGACGCACGCAGGACATGGACATGGGATCCCGATAGGGGCCCAGCCTACTCTCATATCACATCAACACCAACAGATTTTCGCCGCTCAGCAGCAGATGGCTGCAGCAGCAGCAGCAGCAAGTGCTGGACCCACTGTCCATCTGCCTCAGCACTATCTGGCAGCAGCACATGGTGCTCAACCAGTCATCGTGGGCAACCATCTGCTTATTCCACGCCTCGTACGTCCTCACTTATAACAAATCAAATGCACTCTGCTTATCTCAGCTTTATAGGTCGGAATTGTGACAGGTCCAGATGAATTCTTTTTGTCCAGTTTCACATGTTACAGGTGGTGACAACACCTTTAATCATGCATAGATCAGTGCTAAATGGATGTGCCAAATGTGAGGGGTTATTGGTTGTGGAACAGTGTGTGCAAGCTAACCTGGTTATTGACAGTCACTTACTCCGCCCTAGTGTTGAAATGTTCCTTAATTGTACAGTTTTAGTGCAATACATTGCTATATAAAGCTTGTGTTCTAGCTGAACCACACTTAAAGAGACGAGTGTTCATTGTGATAAAGCAATAATGTGTGCATGACAAGCTCAGAGGACAAATGGAATTTACACTATTTAAAAGACGTGGGTGATCTCATTTATTGTGGGTGGAAAGAAGGGGGCTGTTAATTTATTACGTTCAAAATAATAAGGTCCATGACTAGAAATCATAAACAATATACACTATAGATACATAGCTCCTCAAGTTAACTGCATACTTAAGTATTCATTACAGATGGCAATGGTGACTGGAGATGATTCAAATTTTTAATATGCTATTTATTTTGTTTTCAAATGAATGGAAATGTAAAAAATAAATGTGTATGATTGGAACATGAGTTGAGATGAAATGTGTTTGACACAGATCTGAATGATTAATCTGTTTGCCACTGATACTTCAAAACATTAGGGTTTATATTTTCCTGTTTGATTACACAAGGATAGTCAACTATGTAGTTGATTTACATATCCTTGAAAAAATGGTCAGATTTCAACAATGTTATTGTTTTTGTTCCACAGGAGCAAGGTGTTTGTCGTCCGTCTGTCGAGATCCTTTCTAAGTAACCAGATATTTAACAATTGAGCTCCAGTAAGGACGACAACACGTATACTACCAGAAATGACCCTGTGGTAATAACCCATAGAAGTAGTCGGGATCCCCACCCCATTACTCCAGAGATTGGCAGTATCCCTAGGGAACTGGATCTATCAGGGAAATGGTTGAGATTTCCATCCCATAACCATATATGAAAGAGAGGAACACTCATGCCATCAGGATAGGTCCCAGATTCTGGCCCTTTGGTCATAACTAGGAAATGGTCGAGATCACTCTATAGCATATATATGTGCTGGCTGGGCAAGAAAAGGTGAACACGCAACCATGCTATAAGGTTTTTAGCTCACGGTCTGACATTTAGCCCCAGGGTGATAACATGGAAATAATTCATATTATAAAAATATATTACAAATTTCTGCCAAATTCCCTATGAAAGGTGTCATCCACTGGGTGACTACTGCATAGTCTAAAATAGGATTTGCATTGTTACTTTTAAGGTTTGAATATTTTTCCATATTGCCTGGTTATAACTTTAGTCATTTGAAACGTGAAAATAAGAATTAGCAAATGAAATTATGTAAATTGGTGTGAATTATAGTCCAGCATTAAATTATTAATTCATTGTATAACTTAAATTATTTCTATGTACATAATTTTTATGTAAGATTATTGTAGGCTACTCTTCATGGAGGTAGTTGCCTTTACAATGATAAACATGTATATAGACTCAATGTTGTGTTGAGTGATAGATAAGAACTGGCTTCAGGACAGTTAACTATTGAAGTGTATTAATATATAAGCAAGCAAATTAAATTGTCTGTCACCTTTTTAATACGAAATCTTCTGAAGAACCTTTGGCTATAGGGGAACGATACTTGGCTTGTAACTTATTTGGATGAAGCCAGTTAATGTTTATAATGTTAAAATGTTGGGGGGGGGGGGGTTATTTGGGCCAAATATGTAAATAAAAAAAATAAAAAAATATTCTGTACATATCCCATGATTTTTTTTAACTAGGAGATATCCATCAAATGGAAAATAAAAAGATTGTATACAGAAAGTATTTGACATTTTTGTTTCATTCCTTCGATCAAAGTGGACATTCATAGGCTTTTTCATGAACATATGCAGTGATATTCCGACCATATTGATAGAACTTTGATCTGTGGTCTGAAACCTTGGCCAGTTTGAATCAGGTGTCCAATGTGAACTAAGGGTTGATAAGGAGTTGAACTAGAGTAACATCATTAAGTCTGTAACTTGCTAGGAAAACACATTTTCCATGAGGAAAAATATGTAAAGTTAAATATTCCAACAAAGAACTACCTGTTTTAGTGATATTATTCCTGTAGCTTCAGCTTGCTCGATATCAAGCCAATATGAATTTATCACATGTGTGAAATGTGTTTAATGATAGGCGATAAATGTTACGAACAGCAGTGAATAACAGGTGATAGATTTAGGCCCATTGGTCCTCTTGTTCAGGCTATTATTAGATACTCAGTCTGTTGTGAAATGTAACATCACTAACGGTAAGGTATCCGATACTTCATGAATGGCTGCAAAATGGAGGGGTTTTCTGTGATCATTTTTTACAAAATATGTTATTTAAGATTAATTGAATTGGTGATGCATTCATTAAAAGAATTGCAAAGTTGCTTCCATTCTGTTACGGTAAGTTTGTTCCACAAAAATTAAAAATATTGAACAATATGAAAAATTTAACAGCAGGTGATTATATGTAATTGTTGAAGCATACCAGCAGTTCGCTTTATCTGAAATGGGGAAAATGTACAACCAGACATTGCTGATCAATATGTCATCAGTTTTAAGCTGACCATCTGTTTGCATGGATCTATTTTATGACCAACTACTTTAAAGACGTGTACCAATTCTGGACAGGGATTGGTGGCTCTCGCTGGGTCAGTCACTGGTCAGTCACTGGTCAGACTGCTTTCCTGTCGAGACATCAGGACTACAACCTTTACGTCATTATTCTCTATAAATGTTTTTAATTTTTTGTCACATGTCGGGGATTAATATCATGCAATATATATGTATGTATGAACGAATCTTACAACACAAGGCTTAAAGCTATTTATCTATTAAATGGATTCATCTGAAGAACCAATAGGATTCGTGATATGCGCCCTGTTACTTACAAGTGTCCATTTTTTTTAACACCGCAACATTTTCTATTGAAAAATCAAAAGGCCTAGAATCAATTTGGCATGAAGTGCTGGACACATTATTAGAGCAAATGATATTGGTAAAATCAGGTTAAACGCTCCAATGCCTCAAAAGAATGCAAAGTCCTGGTAAATGGGTAGTAGATTGCTAAAATGTAATGACCTTGACTGATATTCAGGGCCTTGGGTCAAATTTGATAAATCATGTTTGGCCTTCAGGCTGCTTGGATGGAGCGTCATAATCTTTGTGAAAAGAAATCATCTTTTCCATAATCTAAGTCACATGGGTCAAATCTGTTAAAAAGTTAAATGATCTCTTTTATAAAAATGTTCTAATATCACGATTCTTGGGCAATACCTTGCTGAAATGAAGTGCGATAATTTCGAAAAAAAGGAATAACTTCACAGATATTTCACAGAGGTCTTATTTGGTACCAATTTTTGATTTCTGAAGAACTGAATCAAACGTTTGTCATGATGTTATGTCGGCAGCTTGCTGAAATATAGTTCTAGGAAGATTGTGAAGAAAGGCCCCCTACAACATCCAGCCTAGTGAAATGTACCCAAATAATTTTAATCGGCAGCGAATGTCATCCATCCTGACTGTGATTGAGATCAGTCCCCAACTATTGTCCTGTTATACATATTTCCCATTCTAGGATAGACTAATGGTTATTTAATAATGAAATTTTTGACATAAATGGAAATGTGTCCTTCTGTGATTGCTCAGTTGGCAAATTGCTCAAGATTGCTTCCAACAAATTTTGCGATGTGTGAATTATGAAATTATGAAAGATAAGGGTGACTGAAGAAGTTTCATTGTAATGAATTGTGTAAGTTTGATCCAGCTTTGTCTTGTGTTACTAATTCTGTGTGTTTGTGTCTAGAGTGGTAATCCAGAGTGTGCACACCTGAGCTTACTATAGTTTTATGTGTACACTTAGCACACCTGAGCTTACTATAGTTTTATGTGTACACTTAGCACACCCAAGCTTACTTTAGTTTTATGTGTACACTTAGCACACCCAAGCTTACTTTAGTTTTATGTGTACACTTAGCACACCCAAGCTTACTTTAGTTTTATGTGTACACTTAGCACACCCAAGCTTACTTTAGTTTTATGTGTACACTTAGCACACCCAAGCTTACTTTAGTTTTATGTGTACACTTAGCACACCCAAGCTTACTTTAGTTTTATGTGTACACTTAGCACACCCAAGCTTACTTTAGTTTTATGTGTACACTTAGCACACCTGAGCTTACTATAGTTTTATGTGTACACTTAAAAAAGATTTTCAGAATATGGAATTAAAAAAAATAAGGTTTTAAAAGTTAATTCAGGTTTTTTTTACACAAATGAATTTATTTATGAATTTGTCATAGCTGTAACAGCTAGGAAGCCATACAAGTCCTTGTTCAAACATGGTTGCTGAGCAGGTGCACGGTACGCAATGGTTTATTATGGTAAACGTGTGTGTGGGGCCACTATTTGAACTGTGACGAACTCTGGATACATTTAATATTACTATTCAGTGATTTTGTTGTTAATTCCTTTCTAGTATACATGTTTTACCTTCACAGAGCCATTACATGAGCTAACCGGTCACTGGCAATTCTATTGAAGGTTATAAACATCCCCCTTTTTGATTATTTGAATAAGTGTTATGCCATTCTTCATTTGTTGCTGGAATTTCATCAAGCTGTTCTTTGGCATGCATATCCTATTATTTCAAAATAGATTAAATTATGGACATACCATTTTACATCAGGTATTCTAAGACTTCATATTGCACTTTAGAACTTTTTGCTTATGTGGTCAAAACTCGACCATCTTCAGCAAAGTCCTTGTGTCCAGTAACTGTCATAAAATTAGGTTACTGTATCTTTCTCCCAGCTCTAACCAAGGAAGCAATTAGACTATACTGCCATTGACAGTTTCTTCTCGTGGGATTTTTTTGCAATGATTGCTGAAATATCCAGGTGACCAATACTGGCTTCTTGTTATATCTTGTAGATATACTTGAAAGTTTTTTTTTGTAATTTAATTTGCTATGTTTGTTTAAGTTTTCTTTTATTTGTTGTATCAGCTCATATCTGCTGTGCTTTGCTCCCGTATGAAAAACTGCATAGACTTGAGACTACTTATTACTTGTACCTGATGAATTCAATGCTGATGGATATTGGATTGTTTTAATGCTTCAAGGAAGAACATGGGATAACATTATGAAGTTATATTTATTCCCAATCATTTTAATGGGGGGAAAAAACCTGTTTTATATTCAAAATTGTGACTTCACTTCCTAATTATCTACTATTTTAAACAAATGTCATCAAGCTAAGATGAAATATTGTGATTGATTTTCATGTAATGGCAAACAATGCAGATGGAGGTGTTTATCATTGAACTAAATGGTAAAATATGTGGTCCTATGAAGCATTGATAGGTATGTAATGTATAGCATCAGTCCCCATCATACTTATAATGTAGGAATGAATGCCGTCAGTGTTACTGGTTTGTAATGTAGAGCATCAGTCCCCATCATACTTATAATGTAGGAATGAATACCGTCAGTGTTACTGGTTTGTAATGAAGATGCGTTGTTACTACTGGTGAACATTGTTGCATCAATCATATACATAACTATTTACATCAGCATTTTTGTCAGAGTGGTGTATAAGGGGAGGTAACTAAGTATGTTGTGTATAAGGGGAGGTAACTAAGTGTATGTCGTGTGTGATTTCTCGAAGTGCTTCAAGCATGTGGTGTGAGTGGTAATATGACCGAATGTGTTAGCCTTTTTATGTAATGCCATGAACTAGATAAATATTTTGGTTTAAAAGGACTCAATTGTGTGTTTTCTGTTTACCTCAATTATGTATACTTGGCTAAAAATTAATGTAACAGAGGTCATTATTATTAAGTTCCCCAAATTACTTTGGGGTCTTACTGCATTTGCTGCATTTCTCATACAGTCCCCTATAGACTAGGATTATTTTTAGGTCACCTGAGCTTTGCTCAAGTGACCTATTCTAATCGCTTTTCGTCCGTCGTCGTCCGTCGTGCGTAAACTTTTACATTTTCAACTTCTTCTCAAGAACCAGTGGATGGATTTTTTTCAAACTAAGTCAGAATCATCCTTGGTAGATGAGGCTTCAAAATTTTAAAATTGGGTTTCCTACCCCAACTCTTGGGGCCAGGGCAGGGCCCCAAAGGGAAAATTAACCAATATTTCAAAAATCTTCTTCTTCAGACTCGGAGGTACTACACTCATTTTCTCTGCGTGGAAAGAAAGATCATCAGGGGCTTTACTTAAATTGTAAATTTAAGGCCCCCCGAGCTATCCGTTCTCCCTTGGGGAGAAGGTAAAGTTTAATAAGTTTATATAGGGAAATAACACTTTTGGGTATATTGTGACAAGTTTCTGTAGGAAATTATTTTTACTTGGTGAGAATTATCCTTTGAGGTAGATGGTTTCAAATTGTAAAATTGAAATTCCTACCCCAACCCTAGGGGCCAGGGCGGGGCCCCAATTGAAAAACTAACCAATATTTCCAAATTTTTCACTTCCAGACTCAGAGGTACTACATTCATTTTCTCTGCATGGAAAGAAAATCATCAGGGGCTTTATTTAAATTGTAAGTTTCAGGACCCCCGAGCTATCCGTTCTCCCTTGGGGAGAAGGTAAAGTTTAATAAGTTTATATAGGGAAATAACACTTTTGGGTATATTTTGACAACTTTCTGTAGGAAATTATTTTTACTTGGTGAGAATT